GAGTCCCCTCAGGGAAAAGGGCGGCATATAAATCCCAATAAATACCTAAATACCTAAATCTGTGGCAGCCCCTCAAATATTGGAACACTGCTATCTTGTGTCCCCTGGTCCTTCTCTTCTCTTCACTAGACTAGTCATGCCCAGTTCTTGCAACTGTTCTTCATATGTTTTAGCCTCCAGCCCCTAATCATCGTTGCTCTTCTCTGTGCTATTTCTAGAGCCTCAATGTCTTTTTATAGTGTGGTAACCAAAACTGGATGCAGTAGTCCAGGTGTGGCCTTACTAAGGCTTCATAGAGTGATACTAATACCTCACCTGACCTTGATTCAATCCCTCTGTTAATGCAATTTAGGATTGTGTTGCCTTTTTTGGCTGCTGCCACATACTGCTGGTTCCTTTAACTCCTTTAACAACTTGCATTCCTTACTTAATGACAGGAATGAGGAATGCCAGAAGTGCTGTCACTAAGCAACATAGTCACGTGACATTATGCTTTACAACCTTATGACGGAACGATAGAAATGTCAGTGCCAATTACTGTCATTAACTAAGGACAACCTGTATGTAAGAGAATTAGATGCAGAATATAAAGTTTGGTTGATAAAGAATACCATCCTATTCCACTCTTCCCCCTAGCCTGGGGAATGGTACCCTTATAGCTGCGACTTCTCTTCTTTATTTTGATACTGCTCCCAAACAGCTATTAACTACTCAAGCTGTTCAATTAAGTGTCTAGAAAAGGGATGTTAAACTCGATTTCATTGAGAGTCACATCAGGGTTGTGTTTGACCTCAGGGGGTGGGGGACATGGCCAGCTCTATGTCACTCATGTCAGGGGTCCCTGTGGTGGCCAAGCACTCTGCCAGCAAAAAAAGGCTCCTGAGCTCCGTTTTCAGCTGCGAAGGCCTCTTGCAACCCTCTGCCAGCGAAAAAGGAGCTGGGAGGACTGCAGGTGGCCCTCCCGACCACTGGCAGAGACACCATGGGCCAGTCCTTTGCTGTTTCCAGGACGGCCCTGCAGGCCTGTTCTAAGCACCTCATGGGCCGGATCTGTCCCCTGGATCTTGATTTTGACACCCCTGGTCTAGAATCACACTGTGAGTGAGAGGGGTTGTACCTAAATTTGACAAAAAAAAAAAAACAGCTCGAGTGAAAGATTTCATCACATGCTCCTGTCTCAGATCATAGAGAAGATGCCTTATTTCCTCAGCAAGGCTTCTCAGTTTGCTCGCAAACCGTTTTACGGCCTCAGCATCTTTTCAGCCTTGCCTCAATCCGAGCAGATAGGCTGATCAGAAGGTTGCATTAGCACAAGCGGCCTCCTCCCTTCAGCGAGCACTCAAGCAAATGCAAGTAGTAGAATCTTTTTTTTACCTCATGCTCTCCTTTCGGTGAACCGTCACATACATTTCATAAACTCTCCCCTGAGGAATCGCCCCCGCAGGAATCAGCAAACTTACTCCTATAGAACAAGATGGCAAAAAAAGCTGAAGCAAATAAAAGAGAAGGGGGGAAGACAGTCTGACCTTTTGAATAATATGCTTTTTGGAGATTGACAGAATTTTACCCAGACTCTTAAAAAATGGGATTTTTGCAACCATCTTAATAGATGTAGTTTTCTGACTTGGTGGTGCCTCAGTGTTTGCTTTCTGCATTCTCGGAGTCTGAAACGGCTTTTGTTTTATTTAAGAAATGAGCAGATGGTTGCACTGCTGCTCAGATTGTAAAAATGAGGAGGGAAAAGCCAAGAGTTGCATTTACTATTCCAAACAGTAGTAATGGGATCATTGTTCTTGGCAGTTCTTATTTAATGAAACTTGGAAAAAAGGGCAAAGAAACATTGCTCATGAAACAACAGGAGACTCTTTCCTGTTCCTGAGGATAAATCAGCTTTATCTGGTCATTATTTACCATTTAGATGAACGAATGTAAGTTTGGTTACAGAATGGGGAATATTCGTTAACATTTTTGTATTGCCAGCAGCTTGAAATATTTATTGGATTGAAACTTAAAACCCAGCCTGTAAAAGTATGCTGTCAAAATGCAATTAAACTGTAATCATTTAAGGTTCAGCAGCTGCAAAATTAAAGGTATTGTTAAAATCTCTCAACTAGGTCTAAAATCCCTACCCAGATCCTCTCCTCTGAGAGGAAGCCTTTAGACAGGTGTGGTGGGGATGCTAAACATGCCAAAAGTGCTTTTTCAAAAGGCAACTGGGCTTTGTTCCTCCTTGAAGACGTTTCACTTCTCATCCAAGAAGTTTTTTCAGTTTCAGTTCATTCAGTTTTTGCAGCTGAAGAAGCTTCTTGAGGAACACAACATCTTCAAGGAGAAACGAAGTCCAGTTGCCTTTTGAAAAAGCACCTTTGGGACAACCATGACTGGATGGCTGAGAATCTCCATAGAGATTTGGGGATCCTAAAGTTTCCCTTGTGAACATTCTTGTTAATTCAGGAACCAATAATGTTTCCATTGGTATCCTTCCATTTCAGATATTCTAAATGGTAAGAGCATCTGTATGGTGAGAGGAAAATGATGTGTTATCCCATTGACCCTCCCTGATCAATATATACTTATGAGAATGTTTGCAAGTTCCAAGACAGAGAAATAAACAGGCAGAGTTTGCTAGTGGTTAGGTAATGTCCTCATGACCATCCAGATTCTGAGATCAACAGACTCCCTCAGCATTAACCATGGCCTGTTGGTCTTGCCCTACTATGTTTTGTATATACAGACTATTACATGGTTTCAGCAGCTACATAAGCACATTAATTAAAAAAGATTATAATACATTGGATATTCCCCACTTCTCTGTCTAAAATCGCTCCTGTATGGGAAAGTCCCCAAGTCTCCCCAAGTCTGCTAAGAACTTCAGTCCAACTTCAGTCCAACTAAAAGCCGTGGTAGTGCAGTGTTTACAATGCAATATTGCAGGGTAACTCTATTCACATTGCCAGGACTTCGATTCCTTCTATCTTAACCAGCTCAAGGTTGACTCAGCCTTCCATTTTTCTGAGGTTGGTAAAATGAGGACCCAGATTGTTGGGGGCAATAGGCTGACTTTGCACACTTACTTAAAGAGGGCTGTAAAGCACTCTGAAGAGGTATGTAAGTCAATGCTATTGCTACATTGTTTTGTGCCAAATTGATTGTTTCCTGATTGCTTATTTGTATCCTATGAGCTGCCTCTTGAAAAAGCACCTTTGGGACAACCATGACCTGGATGACTGAGAATTTCCACAGACATATTGCCAGAGTTTTTTCCCTAATGCCATCACTGTGCTAAATAACTAATTCCCACAACACTGTCAACACAACATTTACTAAGACTATATTACTATTCTTCCTCTCATCCTTCCTATTACCTATCTCCTCTTATTTATGACTATAACCATGTTGCTTGTATTTTTACGATTTATATTGTTCTGTTTGTTTCCTAGCATGATTTGATTGCTTATTAGTAACCTATGACTATCACAAAGTGTTGTATCTTATGATTCTTGATGAATGTATCTTGCCTTTTTTATGTACACTGANATATTTAGAGCAAGTACATCTCTTACAGACCACAACAGAATTGGCTTAAAATTCTACAGCACAAATCTACAGCACTGCTAACACTAAACGCAGCTTGCCTAACTGCTTTTACAGGTTACATAAAATATTGTATTGTCTTCTTCCCTGATATGTTATGACATACTTATTCCACCAGGCACTTGAAATTGGGCTTATTGGACTATTGTTTATGTTGTCAATTTTGTTAGCACTGGTTTCATTTTTATTACTTTTACATGCGCAGACGTTGTTTTAAATAGACACCTTTATACTTCAATAGTTTAATATTATCTGTCCTTGCTTCTGAACTTGTCTTGCAAGTGATACAGATATACTACAAATAATTGGGATTAAACATGAAGACAGATTCCTAGGATAAGGAACTACAGCTTCTAGGATAATTTCCCTCCGGCACCAACTTGGCCATATGAGCTAACCAGATCGATGGTCACAAGGAAGATGTCACAATATTTAGCAGGAGATGCTTTTAAGCTAAAAAAAAAAAAAAAAGTCCTGAATAAGAACTTTAAAAGTTTCTGAGGAGATTCATGATAAACCTTCCACTGAATTCAACAGCCTGAGTGCCAGTACAGTTGAGTTTCATAGAACTAATCTCATTAAGGCTCAAACATCTTTTTTTGAAGAACTAAAAAGAAATAAAACGATCCGCAATGAAATTATATGTAATGAAATTGAAGGCTTTCCATATTTTTTTCCTCAGATAAGATTGTGCAGTTGAAGACATAACCATTGTCACATAGGTGATATGAAGTAACGTATCCATTTGATATGGATTTGTAAAGGGGAATTGACTGGTTCTTGTGCTACAAGCATTGCCTTTTATCCTGCATTTGTGATACAGAAATTCCTGGACATAAATAATAAGCAGATGGTCCTTCTCTTCCATAACCTCTTCTCCTCCCAAACACACCTATCATTTTCAACATTACTTTCATCGAGTATAGCACTTGTGATGGATTTTAAGGACCAAATCCGTTTTAAGTGAGACACAAATTCTGTGACTCAATCCTATTCTACGTAGTGATTACAGGATTGTAATAGAGCATTTGAGACTAGAGAATCAACACCATAAGGGGTGGGAGTTAGTTTTAGCAGAAGAAAATATTTCCATTTGTTTTGGAGAGGGAGTGGAAAAGAGCATTTTCCATGTAAATTCTGTAAATCTGTTCAATGATGATAAATTACTAGCTGGGGGCACAAGATCACTAAAGAAGCAGTTTGACATGATTGAATTTAGAAAAAAGTCGGCAAAAAGTAGTTGCTGCTGCCATCTGGTAAGTAAAATAAAGAGGTCAAATACATTTATGGACTGGAGAGAAATAGATGAGAAAAATCACATAACAGATCCTGCTACATCGAAAGCTGCCATACTCACTAGCATTCTGCAGAAATGCCTTCTTTCTTTTACAAATATTGCTGGATATATCTATAACTGAGATGGAAGAGGGAATCCACTCGTAGTTCCAAACATTTAGGTAAACGAGTAAAGATATCTCCATTTGCAAGATTGAAGATGATTCTATCTATCTATCTAACTATTGATCTATCTATCTATCTCAGAGGCATGAGATAATGTTACATTATGTAACATATATATAACATACCAGTATATAACATAGAGAGAGAGAGAGAGAGAGAGGGAGGGAGGGAGGGAGGGAGAGAGAGAGAAACACATATGTCAAAGAAACTATGGGGTGTAGTCTGCAGCATGGCTTTAATGGAGGGGGGGTTACTGAAAAGGGAGCATTGGAGGCTGAAAGACAAAAGCAAGGAATCTGTCTCTGCCACTTCTTTGCCTTACTTTCTCTGCCTCAGATTTGGCTTTTGCTGAAAAAGCAGTTTTGTTGATTATAAGAGTGGGTATTTCTCCCTGTTATTGAAGCACAAAATTGCTTCAGCTTAAGAAGATCAATACTCAGGGTACTCTACTTGTTGATTGTTGCTGCCTTTATGACAACCTCCAGACTCATCTATCATGGACAAAAAGTACATTCCTGGAAGAAAAGAATACTGGTCTTTTCAAGCTCCTTCTAAGTCAAACATTTACTTCCAGTGCCTGAGAAAAGTTGAGATTTTCTTCATTTCACCAGGTTTTTTTTGGGGGGGGGGAGTTGTTATTATTCTGCATGAAGAACACTAGTTCTATTAATCCATATCCACCTTTGGCCCATCACTGCTTTTGCACAGTTTACGGTAAAAAGAATGCTTCTACACCATTCAGCTACATCAGTAGTGAAATTCATTTTTTTTTACTACCGGCTCTGTGGGCGTGACTAAGTGGGCATGGCAGGGGAAGGATCCTGCAAAATCCCCATTCCCACCACACTCTGGGGCCAGCCAGAGGTGGTATTTGCCAGTTGTCTGAACTACTCAAAATTTCCGCTACCAGTTCTCCAGAATTTGTCAGAACCTGCTGAATTTCACCCCTGAGCTACATGTGTCACTGTCAGTGACGTGCGGTGAGTTTTATGGCTGGTGAGGCACTGACACAGGGGTTTCAATTTTCTTTAGACT